GAATTACCTTGTATGGAATTCCCTTGAGATTTTTTTTATGCATCTTAATAGCTGTTATCAGTCATTATCAGCCATTATTTCAAAGCAAATATGTTCTGTTCAGTTGGGGGTGGTTCTACATTGAGTCACTATCTTAATCCAACCAGTAAAGCTACTTCTCTGGAAGCAAAAAAAAATTATTTTACTTAGGTTTAGAAAAAATAAAGACAGGTCTTCCTTGTTTTAGGAGAGCTTTTACTTGCAATTTACTTGAAATAACATTTTAGTTCCACAACTACAGTTGAATCAGCCCATAGATAGACTTTTCTTACCCCTGGAAATGCATATGGAAACATCCATTTATGAGCCTGGTAATCCAAAAAGCCTTTGATATATTGTGCTTAATGTATCCTGTGGAATTTATTTCAGGAATGTCTTCTGTCCTAAATTTATGTTGCCGGTTTAGTCCTAACTTCTCTGTCCACAACTGATAGTTTTGTTTCCCCACACCACCTGGTGCTTAATTTGCTTTGGGGCTTTTTGTTTGTTTTTCTTGTTTTGTTTGGGTTTTTTGGTTCAGTTCTTCATGGGAGACCTGGGTTTTGATTGTATACTTTTCCCTGCATGAGCAAATTCATGGAATTTTTGTATGCTGGATGCAACTTCTGCCCAGTTTTTCAACATTCCTCTGCTGATGTCGTCTCATACTATGTATGTGAAAGTTGATGGCAATCCACAATTTAAAGAGAATCAAGAGCTTCAGTAGGTTTTTTTTATCTTGCTGAAGGAATGGGCCTGATTATGGCTTGTAAAAACACTTGACTACAGTGGTCCAGGTTTTGTAGTGCACTGGAATAACTATGAGAGTATATCTGTGTACACAGAGTGCAAAAACATGTTTGGGTCTCTTACATGTACTTCTCAATGTATTTGACTCCTCTTGTGGACTTTCTAAGGAGGGGTAACTGGCTTCCTTGGATGATAGAGCAAAGGATATATGATGTTTGTTGTGTGTCTGTCCTCAACTCCCTATCACAATTATTCAGTAATTCTCCATGCCAGCTTCTTCCAGCTCCTGTATTTGTGTGAATGCTTTGTGGTCCCTCAACACATTCGGTATGGCATGAGGTTTGTCCAAACAAGTGGTGGATATGGCAGAGCACTGCAGCTGTCGATTAACCTGCTGCTCTGTAGTTGATGAAGAACACGGTTTGTGGTTATTTTTGGATGGGGGGGCACTAGTCTGAGTCAATCCACTTTATCTGGCTCATGCTATATACAAGATGTACAGGAAGTCTGTTTCTGAGACCTTTACAGCAACGTCAGATGTGACTGGAAATGATGCGCAGACAGGCACATCACATAAGGTGACTCTTCAGAGTTCATGCAGAGTGACGTGCTGCTGTTACCACCCTCTTCCTCCAGCCAAAATGAGTGAGCCAGCAAACCCTTTATTAGCCTGGCTTCTGTCTGCCAGCTGTGTTTACAAAGGGAACGGGGTGATGGCAGCGTATCGGGCGTGATGTGGCCCAGGGCTGTGAGGAGCCCAGTTTACAAACCGTATGAGAGATGCTGAAACTTGCAGGAAAATTTTAATTATATGTGGAAGCCTCTTTGCTGCCCTATGCAGTTGGCAACGAGGTCTGATGTACCTCATAGCTACTGGTTTAAATCCAGCCTTGGTTGGTTTGTGCTTTTAAAGCGATAGTTATGGCATATAAAATGGTCACGGTGTAGTTTACACAGACACAGCTGAGTTACTCGTTGTTCAGACCAAAAGGGAACACTGAGCAAAATAGTGCTCTAAGTTATCATATTTCCAGGGCTAAAAATGGTTTTGGTTTTGCATGAGAAACTTTACAGCCGTACTAAAAATCCACATTTGCTACAAATCTTAAAAATTCCAAGGCATCAGAGGACTGGTACAGGGAGGTATGTGGGGTAGCAAGGCTGTGTTCTGTGTGGGCAGATTGTTAGAGTGGAGATTAGCTGGCATTAGGATCTGTTAATGTAATACAGAGTTATTCATTGCAAATGATGCGTAGAGAAGATTTTGAGTCAGAGAGCACAGAGCCAGCTCTGAATTTAAAGGAGAGTTTGAATAGTGAGTACTAAGAAATTTACATCTGTAGTTTGGGTGTAAGCTTAGCCAAAGGTGACCTCTAAGCCTTGAACACCACTGTGTTCTTGAGAAAGTAGTGGTATATCACTGCCAAGGAGATGTGGTCACTGTTCTCGTTTCTATGATTGTTTTGATTATATGTGTGCACGCAGATTTTAAAAATGTTTCCAAACATCAAACCTGCTAGTAAGTGTAAATATCTGTCAGGCTTTCCTAGTTGTTTTTACCATGAAATAGGGAGAAATTTAAAATTTAAATGCTTGAGATTAAAACTTTAAAAGGAATGCTGTATTCCCAAAGATTAATCTGTGCTAGGACCTTTGTGAAACAAAATGATCTTCAAGTTATCTCTTAGAAGGGGTTAGATAAATGTTCCTGCCGAGCATTCTGTAACAGTGTAACATAGGGTTTGCTAGCTCCAAAAAAGCACGTAGCCACAGGGTCTGTGGGAGGCTGAGATGAAGGCAGCTGCCTTTGCATGTGTCCCAGTAAAACTTTGTTTTATTGTTCCTTCTACCACAAAACCCAGGCTGCCCAGAATACTTCCCCTTGTTTACTGAGGGTCTCTGTCACCGTGGCCACCACCCCGGAGAACACAGTGTGCAAGGTTACAGTGGTGGCAGTCCCAGAGACAAACTTCCATCCTCCCTTCATCAGGGCAGGGGCCTCTCTGGGCAGGTGGGGCAGGGGACAGCACTTGGGACGCTGCTGGCCTCGCATGTATGGTGGGTGCACAGTAGAGCTGGGGGCTTGGAGGTGTCATGTCGTGTCACTGCTGCCCTTTCATGCATCCTGCCCTGCAAACACTCTCCTGGAGGTACCAGCAGCTCTGCACAAATATTTCTGGCCTCAAATATACTGGCCTCAAGGAAAGGACCAAGGACAAGTGGGACCACCAGGAAGGAGGAAAGTTGATCTTCACTGTGTCACCTCTTCACAGAGAGCCAGTCCATGGTGAGTTTGGCATCCTACCCTACGTCTCACCCATTCCTGAGGTCCTCCTTCCCCCTCACCCTGAGGTTCATAAAGCCCCACCTGGCACCTGCTAGGAGCTGAGTGCCAGTCTGGCTATTTCCATCACTCCCACTCCTGCTGCAGCCATGGGGCATTGTCCTCCTAAATGCCAAGCTGTGGTTTCTGCTTCCAGATGGGCTTTCACAACCCCAGACAGAAGATGCTGTTATGAATCCAGGTAGCTGGGATTCTCCAGTGCAGGAGACACCAATATGTAATGGTCCCAGCATCCTGCTGCAGGAAAAGATAAGGTGAACCTCTCTTCTCTGAACTGTCTGTTTATATCTCCCTTCTGAAACTCCGTTACATTGAATGTGGACAGCTGGAAGCTAAAGTATCTACTCTAAATTATACATCTACTTCTGATATGGAGAATACTGTGTCTTAAAAGTAATATTTTAAAATAATCAGCTGCTGATTCACTGAGAAGGCTCAGAGGAGTAGAAAGCAGATTCTCAGTGTGTGTAAGTTGCTATAACCTCCGCTGAACTACAGCAACTTATTCTGGCAGAAAGCCCGTGCTTGAAAAAAACATTTCTCAAATTCTGCCTTGTTAGTGGAGTGTGCAGCAATAGCTAGAAATCTAAAAAGAATTCTTTTAGGAGTTCTGCTGATGGCATTGTAACCTTCTTTTGCATAAAACAGCTAACACTTTTACAGGGATGCAGATTTTTTTTTGGGAATTTGCCTCAGTACTTCTCCTTCAGTGTTACTCACAAAACAAACAACATCCCAAAGGTAATGACTATTTTTCAGTGTTTTGCAGAACTTCATTACCAAAGAGGTACTGTGCTTGCTGGGCAAACAATGTGCAGCACTTGCTGGAATCTTCAATGCCAGTCCCTGAAGGACTGATTTTGAGCAGCCCAGTTTTGTGGCTTTAGTTTTTTTCCTTTTCTTTTTTGTGGCTCTGCTGCTTTCCAAACTGAACACTGAAACTGTAACATTGTTCATTACATCACATACAACGATTTCAGCACAGAAACAGAATCAGCATCTGTAAACAATACATATGATGGAAAAGCTTGATAATTATTCATTGCTCTGGCTGTATGAACAACCTGTGCTCTTGGTTACTACCTGCCTCAGGCTTTACATCAGTGAGGAAGAAAAAATTGTATGAGCTTTCTTGAGATCTTACCCCTTGTAGAAATGTGCTACTATCATTCTCGGTATGTTCTGCTACAATCTGTCAGTTTTCTGTAGTTATAGGGACAGAACTGGCATTTCTCACTATTTACCTAGCTGAACCTGTGTTTTCCTCTGAACTGGCCATTAGACTTGCATTGCCCACTTTGCAAAAGGCAGATTTCTGGTATTTCTGCTGTGTGGAAGGGTGGCTTGAAAAATAAGAGATAAGTTAATGTAAGGATAGAAGTTCATGCCAGGTTTGTATTTACATACTTGTAACTCCATAAAGTTACAAATCAGTTTTGATATTGTCAACACAGAGGGAAGAAATCTCCACATCCCTATAATATCTATGTATGGTCTTATTTACAGAGATGACTTCTCTGTTATTGTGCACAGCCAGATTTGCGTTAACTTTGTGAGAGAAAAACAGAAAGGGGAGGAGGACAGCAGCTGAGAACTGCCTGGAGCCGTCACATGCTAGAAGAGACCTGCTGGAGGTATATCTGTGTATTTCCTAAAGGGGCTCTGTCATGTTTTCCTGAAGATTTCATTTTCCTAATGCAGGAAGTGGTAGGCATTCTCATGGATGCGCACCTGACAAGGAGTTGCCCCGGGAGCAGCATGTGGGGAAACCTGCAAGACCTCTGTTCTGTATGGCATACCCTTGCCTGTTGCCCTGAAGAATGTGTCTAAGTGGGCTCCTAGAGAGCTGTGAGGTGTTTTTTTCCACTAGACTTTCCATGCCATTATTTATACATAGAAACTCACTAGCTTTCCCAGCACAGCTCCTCTATTATGATTGGTTAGTAATTTCCCTAAAAGTTATGTAACCCTAGCTAACTTCTACACATGCTCAGGGGAAAGGTCTTCTTCACCTTGGCCCCTTGGGTCTTTCTGACATGAAGGTGGGATTTTTAGTATTATAAAATTAGTATTATGAAAATAGTTCAGCTATAGGATACGTGGACCTGGAGTATTTCGCCAAATTAGCAAGATATACATACACCAACATCTTGATTTACTACATCCTTAGAGCTTGTTAGTTCCAGAATGTTCTTGATTAAAGGGGGGATAACTGCTGTCTGTTCTCACTTTGAGTACTGTGTGCAGTTCTGAGCAGCACAATATAAAAAAGACGTTAAACTATTAGAGAGTGTCCAAAGAAGGGCCAGTAAGGATGATGAAGGGTCTGGAGGGGAAGCCTTAAGAGGAGCAGCTGAGGTCACTTTGTTCAGCCTGGAGGAGACTGAGGGTCTTTGTTGTCTTCACATCCTCATGAGGGGGAGTGGAGGGGCAGGTACCGACCTCTTCACTCTCGTGACCAGTGGCAACTGTTGTGCCAGGTTTAGGTTGGATATCAGGAAAAGGTTGGTCACTGGAACAGGTTCCCAAGGGCAGTGGTCACAGCACCAAGCCTGTCCGAGTTTGAGAAGCATTTGGACAGTGCTCCCAGGCACATGATGTGATTCTCGGAGTGTCCTGAGCAGGGCCAGCAGTTGGACTCGATGATCCTGATGGATCCCCTCCAACTCAGGATATTCTATGATTCTATAAACAACATCCTGATTTACTGCATCCTTAAAGCTTGGTAGTTCTCGGATGTCCTTGACTAGGGGATGCTGGGTGCTGCTTTTCCCTACCCTGACTAGGTCTCCTTTCTCGCTGATAAGGCTTGAAAGTATACAAACATATCAAAGAACATCCTGATTTAAGATAATCTCCACCTGTCCCTCGGCCTTTCCTCCCGGCCCATCCCGCCTCCCTGAGGCGCGGCGGGTGGCGCGCAGGGGCCGCCGGGACGCGGCGCGCCCGCCATGGCGGTGGCGGAGGAGGCGCTGAGGCGGCAGCTGGGCAAGGTGCGCGCCGGGAGGCGACGGGAGCGGAGGGGGCGCTGAGGGAGGGGAAGGGCGGCGGGCCGGGAAAGGTCCCGCGGGCCCGAAAGGGGCGCTGGGCTGGAAGGGAGGAGGTTTCGTGGTGGTGGCGGCTGGTGAAGGACTCCCCTCCCCTCCCGTCCTGTCCCATCCCGTCCCGTCGCTGCCCTGTCCGCAGCCGAGCTTTAAGCTGCGCGTGAACTTTATTCCCGTGACTCAAGGACGTGCCTCTCGGCTGAAACCTTGCTGTTCACTCAGAGTTATCAATCCACCCGGGCATTGGTAACTTTATTTTTCTTTTCTTTTTCTTTTTTTTCGTGGCGTTCCCTGCGTTAGCACCTCCACGCCCTGGGAACGCAGGCGTGTTGTTGTAGCATCCCTCCGAGGGTTTTAATTTCCACGTGAGAAACTGAGGTGGGCGTATTTAAATTCTGAGCACGCCGGATAGTTTTAGGTGCGAAATGGGCAAAGGTCTGTATCTGACTCACCTCGTAAATCCTCTGATCTTTAGAAGAGGACAAACTATTTGATAGGAATGATGCCTCGTTTTGCATTACAAATAGAAGGGGAAATAGCTGGGGAAAGATGGCTTTGGTCTCACAAACAGATGAATCAACGCTTCCAAAAATGTGTTAAACCTAAGTTGGGCAGACGTTCCTAATTTGGGCACGTTTGATTTTTTCACTCTTTTTTTTTTTTTTTTTTTTTTCTTGCCTGACTTTGCAGAATCCTGAAAGACTGAATGGGGAGAAGCTGACTAAAAGCTGCCTCTTTAAAGCAGCTCTATGTTTTCTTGTTCAAAATGGAAAATATCCCCACAGCTGCAGCACTGCTGGTGGGGTGCCAGACTGAAGAGAAATCTGGTTTAAGCTACTACTTTCTGACAAGTATTCCAAGGCAGTGAGAAGCTCTTTAAGCCACTGTCAGGCTGCAGTTGTGCTTGCTTAGGCAAAGGTTCCAAAACAACTCCAGGTTTCCTGAATGAGAGGCAGAGGCTCTAATCTAGGAAATAGAAAATATTCTTCATAATTTTGGAATGTGGAAGGATGCAAATCTCTTGGAAGTTTAGGTATCGGACTGACTGGGGACAGTCTCAAGCAGCAGTGATTCATTTTCTCAGCTCTCAAAGACAGCTTAAAAATAGGAAAAAAAAAAATCCCAGAGGCTAATCACTTACACATTTAGCATGTTTATGGAAATCGACATCTTATGAAACTCTTCTAAACTATATGCAGGTGGATCTGAGTTTTACTGTGTCAGCAATAAAACAATCTCCTTTTTCTAAGAGGTTTATGTTTTTATATTGTTTTTAGTTATTGTGTGCAGAGGAGACTAAACTTTACTAAACCTCTGCTCATGCAGCTGTGAATGGGAAGAACTGGTATGTAAGGAGTGATATTCAGAATTTGAGTTCTTGTGCATCAGCAGCAGACCTGCCATACCTTTAAAGCGTTTTTGTAATTAATTCTTTTTTATAATTTATTTCACATCAAAACTATTTGTAATACCACAAGTAATTATTACATTCCCCTTCTCATGTTTCTGCCTTCTTTCCCTGTCCTTTTCCCCATGTCTAGTAATGAAAGAAGTGAAACTTTTTTTTCCTGATTTTTTTTTCCCCTCCTCCTTCCCAGTATAAGTTCAGAGACCTGACCATAGAAGAGCTGAAGAATGTTAGCAAGACCTACCCAAACTTCGCCTTCTCCATGAACACATACAGTAAGAAGTGATACAATTACTTTGAACTAATTGTGGAGATTCTTACTTGCCACAGATTCAGACTGTGTATAACAGAACGTAAATAGTGTGAATATCTTTCAGTTGTGTTCCTGTCTTTACTTTGACTCTTCCAAGAGTGCATAAATATAAAAATTATAAAAACCTCAGTGACTTATTCGCTTCATTTTATTTCAGCTTGTCAGTAATTATATTTTAAATTGTTTTAATGTTTTAAATTCTTTATACGTAACACCATTTTCCCCATTTTTCACGATTGTATTGAAAGCATTTTGCTATCTGTATCTTATAGAGTGTATTACCAGAATCCCTCAGCCTGACTGAAAATTCCTACAACATCAGAATTACCCAGGACAAGGGATTTTCAGACTAATGATGCAATTTCCATTAAGATTCAATTAAGGAAATACTTAAAAGGGGAGAGGGAACCTTTGTAGCATTCTAGACTTGGCTCTTTCAGGAGCAGATTGGTTGATTTCTAAAGAAAAATCAGTGTTGTATATTGGTAGCTGTGGATGGGATTACCATCACAGACTTGAAAGCATTTATTATTTTTTAAAATCCCATTTTTAATTTCAGCCTTCAAGGATGGATCCCAGAAGGACCTCCTGAATTTTAGTGGTACTGTTCCAGTGAAATATGGTAAGATAAATCAAATTTTCTTGCCAGTTATGAATCTAATTGTGAAATGCGTTGGGTGCTGCCTCTTAGCAGTAGTGCAGCTTCATTAAAGAGGGCCGGAAAGGATTGTGCATGAATTGGCAGAAGCTGCTTCTGCAAAAACAGGTGCAGGTGCAAAACCAGATGCTGACATTAAAAATTATTAATTATATAAGTAAATTAACTATTAAAAAATCATGTAGTTTGAGACTGTGTAGGCAAACTCTTTGGTTGTAAAGGACGATGTGTGAACTCTGTGTATACAAGCCCTATGCTTGTATAGGCAGTGTCGAAAAATAAGTAGTAGGTAATTTTTTATTTTTAACTTAAAGCCTTTGGTAATGCTCTTAACAGCTGCCTCTTTGCACTAGTTGTTAAGTCCTAAAATAAATATGAAATGGTACCTTTAAGTGATTTCTTTGCTGGGAAAAGGGGATGTGTTGGCTGATAGGAGGACCTTGGGAATCAAAATGACAACAGAGCTTTATATTGAGAAAGACACAATCAGTAGCACTTCAAGTTGATCCAGATAAGTCTGTGTTTGTTAACTAGGCTAAGTGACATAAATACTTAGTGTGAATCTGGAAAGTGATCTCTCAGGCTTTTTTTCCTTTGTTATTATGAAGTATAAATCACATCACACACACGACTAGTTTTTAGTGCCTCTTCCCAATGCAGAAGTTAATAATGGCTTTTATTTTGTGTTGAACAGGTAATTCCTATAACATACCTATTCAGCTGTGGATTCTGGATTCTCATCCCTTTGCTCCCCCCATTTGCTTCTTGAAGCCAACTGCAAACATGGGCATTTCAGTGGGAAAGCATGTTGATGCACGTGGCAGGATTTATTTGCCCTACCTGCAGAACTGGAGCCATGTAAGAGGTGGAGTGGCTGACGGTGGGGAAATAATTGGGAATAATGTATGGTATCATATAGAGATCCATGGAGTGGAGTGAGGGGTTCAGGGCTTTTTGTTTTCTGAATTTTTTTTTTTTGTTAATTTTAAACATGCAATGGCTATGCAAAGAGAAACAGAATGTTATGTCTCTTGAAATTACAGCTGTAATTACGGCAGTTCGAAGCACTTGTAAAGGAAGTTGTAAGTGATTTTAAGGAAAATTATTTTAAGCTGAAGAAAAAGGGACTGAGTTTGTTCCAAAGCAGAGTAAGCCTTATGATACTTTGTTGCTGTTAGTAGTGACTGATAGTACTAGACAAACTGAGTATCCCCAGGAAAGTTCAATGGAAGGTTCTACCTTTTGGGCATGTCCCTGTTGACAGAGCTCTGAAACAGCATAAAAGATTCTAGAGCCAATGCTGTTCCAAAATGATTCTATGCACTGTGTTAAATTACTCACTTATATAGGACTGCCAGGCAGTCCTATTAAAAATGATTTAATGGATTACAGCTTTCTAAAATGGATGGGCTGTATTTCACTTTATTGATATAGGCATTCCCATGAGAACTTTTCCTGACTTCACTGTGTGTTTTGCCTGAAGAAGAACTGAATTGGCAGAACTCTGGACAGTTAAACTCATCTGAGAAAACTGAACTATCTTTCCCTTAGCTAGGATTTGTCCCTTTTATGGTACTGGATGGATGTGGCTATGTCAAAGGTTTCCATATGTTCATGGATGCCTTCAAAAATTAGTTGCACTGGTAATTTCAGTTTTCCTTTTTGTTAAATTCCTTTTAATCCATACTCCTGTTTGAAAAGTATCTTTTCAAAAAGTGATGCTTTTCTTTCCCTTAAATGTTGATGTAAATGTTAAGGGTGTCAATATTTATGATTTGATTAAACTGTTATAACTATGGGAGGTCAGAGCTGGTATCACTCTATGAAGTAGCTAGTCAGCTGTTTTGTCTTCTGTTTTGCCATATTTCAGCCTAAATCAACTGTCATTGGATTAATCAAGGAAATGATTGCAAAATTTGAGGAAGAGCTCCCTTTGTATTCACTGCCATCCTCTGATGAAGCCAGGCGATCAGAACTTCTCTCCTACATTGCAAAGATTACAGAAGGTCTGGATGTTTTCATGTACTTCTTTCTATGTTCTTAGATATGTTCATTTATTGTTGTTACTTGATATCACAAAGAAGACTACACAGTTTTAATATCTGAAATTTTGGTGTTTGCCTGTCCACAGTATTTTGTGTTTTCTCTGCATACTCAAAAGTACCTCTTTGGACAGAGACCTAAGGTTCTCTGTTCTCTTTGTTTAGTAAGCAGCTTGTTTTGGATGTTTGCATTTAAGCCTACTGAAAACTACTGTAGACTTGGTACTACTCATTTTTTGGAAATTACTGCAGCAAAACTCAGAGATTTTATGGAAGGGAGATGTGACTTTATTCTGAACAAGTTGATTTTACCCAATCATAGTCATGCATT